AATGTTTATACCAATAATAACAAGATCTTAAACTCTGTAAGGGTACAAGAGTGCTAAAGATCAATCGAGAAAGTTTTCGGAAACTCACATTATACTTACTGCATGGAGGGTTAATATCACGTAGTCACATTCTTATCACGCTAACCAAATATTTTCATACAGAGATAAAAGCAAGAAATATTAACCGATGGGGGCGTGGTTACCACGTCATACGTGCGTCAAGTGCTTGGCATACGTGCCCCCTCTTAATTTTCTCCTTGCTTACATAACGACAACGAGGCACTGAAAATTTTCACTATAAATACCTGCTGTCATCATGTCAATGTACCAAAGTACTTGGAATTAGCACTATCTAGAAAAAATAATGTCCCAGTCACGTTATCTTAACATATTCGAGCCAATAGGTTTAGGGTTTGTTGGGGGCAAAGCGGTGACATCGACATGTTTTTATAGATATAGAATGACTTTGTGATAAACGAAACTACTATGGAACTTATCTTCGCCTTATCGGCGCCAGAATCTGCTATCTAATCATACTTAAATGAAAATCCATTCGTTTTATTCTTAGCAACAAGAAGTTGGCAAAGTCGTTTATCAGATTAGTAGGTAGGTACTCTGTCGAGCATGTAGAATTACTGCTCTGCAACAACAATGCTTAAAAGTCGGATGTTTTGTTAGGTTGGTAGAATTTTTAGGTAGCAAGTTCACACTGTATGCGAGTGTCTCATGAAAAATTCACAGGAAACCATTGTAACTAGTCCGCTGAGACCTGCAGCCTGTAATTTGCTTGACGACTTGCTGTAGAACCTTCTAGTTTCATAAAGTCTGTATTGCATTCAGGCCAGCTATCAAGTTTTCAAAGAGGTCTTTAATTACCTTTCCTTGGAAATATCTCCACTAGCAGGTCTTTTATTCAATAGTGATTACTTCTCTTTTATATTCAGGTATCAACTAAATACGCTTTCGGTCGTGTGTATTTAAGCTGTTACGTAAATCAAGCTAGTATTCTTCCATTTATGATTTTCTAAAAATATCAGTAAACTTTGATAAGACCTGCTCATAGCTACACCTGTTGTTGCGTTTCTTTGTTGCCGTTTTATTTCAGCCGCTGGTCTTTGAGAATAGATTTCATACTATTTATATCATCTAGGAAATATGCCAACTGAATGAGTGTGTGTATATCGCGCAATGGATTCGGTTAATATTCCAATAGGTAGGTACCTAAGTGTGGCACGAGGGCCACGCAAAAGAGAAACTTCAGGGACTTCAAAGGACTTCTTTTATTGTACCTTATTGAGGAAAGGCACTCAGCATGACTACAAACGCTAGTACTTGAAGTTATTCACTTATACACGAAACTGAGGTTAATAATATTATTGTAGAAATTAAGTTGGGAAAGCCAACATTGACACAATAAGGAGAAGAAGTATCAGATTGGGACCTGGATATATAATACCAACCGAACCTTTCAAACCTTTTTGTCTGAAAAACAGACCACTAGCTCACTAGGTAGGTAGGTAACCATTCTACTTACACGTAACCGTAACACGTGGTTACCTATCAGACTTCGCCGCGATGTGCACATCCTGACCACCCTATACAACATCCTTCACAATCCTTCCACTCCTGACTATCTCCGCTCCCGTTTCCATTATCTTCCTCCAGATCCTCGTCCTAGGCGCACCTGCATCACTAAGGTGCTGCAGTGCCCTAGAGCAAATACTAAATTTCTATTCAACTCTTTTTCTGTCAAAGCTGTTCAGCTTTGGAACAGTATGCCAAAGACCATTCAAGACAGCCCCTCAACTTTTGTTTTTAAAAAAAGAGTTAAAGAGCACTTTCTATCTCAATTACATTAATGTATTTTGTATGTATGTATTTATGTATACGGGGTGTTAGGGACGGTGTAACGAAAACTTTGCAGGTATGATCAGACCATCAAACTGAACAATTTTTACTATGGAGCCAATGGTGGGAAACGAAAAAAAAATTTCGACCTACCATACAAAGTCAGTCAGCTGATCGTGAATTTTGTATGGGAGGCCGGATTTTTTTTTTCGTTTCCCACCATTGGCTCCATAGTAAAAATTGTTCAGTTTCATGGTCTGAGCACTCCTGCACAGTTTTCGTTACACCGTCCCTAACACCCTGTATATGCATATTTGTATGTATGTAATGTGTATGTATGTTATATTTAGGTATGTATGTAAAGTATTATAGCATAGTTTATATCGCTGATAGTTTCTCATTGTTGCATTGTATTGTCCCCCCACAAAAACATCATTTTCCTACTACTGACGGGTTGGCTGGAAGAGATCTCTTCTTAGAGATAAGCTCGCCCTTGCTCACGCTGTCTAAATTATGTTATTTCTTGTAATTTTATGCAATAAAGAATACATATAAATATTTTCAAGTCTAGATATTCCATACAAGGCAAATATTCCCTCTAGACTTTCGGGCCAAGGGTAGACCTTACGTAATGTAAAGGTCAATTTCATCTTCTCGTGTGGTCGACTTATCATCACAGTTTATGATAGTGAAACATGACACCTTTATCTCGAGCCATATCACATTTTTGCAGAATTAATGGAGTATTGCAATATGAGTACGAGATATACTTACATACATTTGTAATAAAATATTATTATTTCATTTTTCTAAACTATTCTGATAATGAAAATTCACATTCAGATGGTATGGTTCCTAATGAAGATGATGTTGACTAGTAACAAGTATGAGTACCTATCTAGGTATCATTCAGTAGATCCAATTCCTTGTGCGCTACTAAAATCGCTAAGGCCAATTTGACATTTCTATAACCGTTTGCTATTCTACACGTAACTGTCAAATTCAAATGACAGCATTATAATCTCTAAAATACTTAAATTTAAGTGACAGCGCTAAACTTAGCTTTAGCCGATTAGTGCTATTCCACGGCGCACAAATTTAAGCATTTTAACAATTTAAAACTGCTAAGATCGCTAATCTTAGCGGCCACTAAAAAGGTCCCTCTTAAAAATAATACTGTCAGAACATCTCAAAATGGGTGGGGTTTTGGAGTGATTTGTGTAATTATTGGTCACATCAGAAAGTTCAAGAGTGGAAAAAAGGTGATCGGGATTTAAAGTGTCACCGGGTAGGAAAGTTGAGTGAAAACAATTTAATCGGGAGGCTTTAGAGTGTCCCCGGGAAGTAAAGTTTAAGAGTGGCAACAGATTTAAAGGTAATAGAGTGGCACCGGGGCAGAACGTTTTAAATTAGCACCTAGTCAGAATGTTCTAGAGTGGGGCCGGGTTGTTAGGTTCTTAAGTGGTGGAACCAAAGGTGGTACAGAAGGATTTTGAGTGTCACCGAAAATAAAAATATTTTTACCAGTTACAGATTTTTTCATTTATTACTAAAATTAATCTTTTTTTTAAAATTGCAACACTGAATTTAATAACATCAAAATCAAATTATAGTCCTGTCAAAAACCTCTGTTTAATTTTCTAAAACTGGGCTTTTGTGGAATAGCACAACTTAAAATTGCTAATTTTAACCATTTTAACTTAGTGATTTTAACTTTAGAGATTTAAAATGGCTAACCTGTAGAATAGAGACCATTAGATAGATAAAATCGTTGATTATACTTATAATTTATTCGTCCGTAGACTTCCGTTACGGAAGATAAAAGAAACATAGGTAATGTGTTTGAAGAATCTGTTTCGCTTCCCAGGTTGACTGATTTGATTAGTTTTACTATAGGTAGATAGATAGCGTGAATTTAGGAATGTGGATCTTTTGGTGTAGGTAGTTCCCATGGGTAGTTCGTGATGTTTTCCTCCAAAAAAGACATGCCTGTGGCTTGTAGGTACTAAGGTATTTATTTATTTAACTGTTTATTGCACACAAGATAAAACACAGGACATTTACAATAAGAAAATATTATATTTACCTATATGTAGGTAAGTATTATATTGCTGTGCCCCCCCGGGGTGTCACACGATTACTCTTAAGATGTATCTCAAGTGTATCTGTGATATTGCAATAAAGATTATTGAATTGAATTGAATATTTAACTTTCAAAGATGTAATGCTTTGTTCATATTCGTGACATGTAGAGGATATCCTTATTATCCTTAATTCGCTACTTGACAGGGTCATAAATAAAATACAAAAGATGCATGCTTGAAAAAAGTGTCCAAAAATACTACAGACTTCATTCATTGTTTGCCAAAATAATAAAAGTTAGAATTTATAAACAACAAAATTTTATAAAAGTTTTTGTTTTGACTCCATTCAAAATATTGAATTATGAAGTCATATTTCTATAATTTCATACAAAATATCGTTTTCGGACGTCTTAAGGTGGTTCGTTACGTCATACAAACGAAAAACTGCACTTCAGTCGGGTTACACATGAGCTGTAGAGTATCTTTTTGAAGAAACTTTATTCTGAATGATGAAGGCACACGTAAATTTGTCGCAAAACTACTTAAAGTTAAAAGATAATCAGTATTTTCTGCACAATAAAATTAAACGTATTTATTGCAGCAGTAGCTCCATCTATTTTCGTAAAGTGGCGACTCGCTTTTTACGGGGAAATCGGATGATTTAAAAATTCTTTTTAGTGTTTTGCGACAATCTTATATACCCACGGGACTCCCCATCAAGCTTTATAAACCGACTCTTGTCTCCTTTACAGACATAACTCCATTGAAGTTTTGTATGGAAAACGGAACGCCTTAAAAAGTAGCTCATTTGACCTGTCAATCAAGTAGCGGATTCTGTAGGAAGAGTTGACCCATAATGTAGACAGGCTACCTGTGTACGATTTGATTATCGTATGAGATTAGAGAAATATCTAAAAAATATAGGAGCTATTAATCATGACGCAAGTAATTATCTGGAGATAACTTATTTTTAATATTTAGTTTCTGATAGAGAAGATTTCAAAGGGAAACCCACCTAATAGGTACCTATCTAACATAGCAAGTTTTCGGAAAACTTGCAAAATTTTCCATCGCAGGCAGGATTTGAACCTGCGACCTTTAACATCAGTACTGCCGACGCCCTAACCTACTGGGCTACCGCGGTTCTAATCCAGCCTGCGAATTAAGCAAGTATATCTTGTCCACTAACGCGTGGATGCAAGCTATAGCAAGTTTCTGCTACGTCACACTCTTGTTGACAAGTCACATCAATTTATTCAGCCACTCATACCTATTTACCAAATAAAAAATGTCCTTCATGACTTTCAGGACGACCATTGAGGGTCGCATCTATTGTCAAAATAACTATCAAATAGGTATACTGGGTTATTTTTTAGTCAGTGCGCAAACTTTGCAGGGTGTTTCTACTCGTGATTATGAACAACTTTGACTATGGGACCACCTGCGAATTCGCAAAAAAAATTTTGGATGTTCCATAGAAAAATTCATAGGTACTGAAAGAAACCTGCCCTCTGGAGATCCTTATAAGTTTAGTAAAACAGTTAGACTGTTTACTTAGAATTGAAGATGGCCAATATTAAGTGTGATCGTCTATTGGGTTAGGAATACATTGCGTTAAAGTAGTGACTTGTTAATTCTTACGAAGTGGAGCAGTGTTTTGCTTGAGATGTATAGAGAGGAAACATTTAAGTTTAAATACAAAAAACTACAAGAATACGGGGCTCCCATCCATCCTACACACCCGTCCGAAAGGGGCCATGACGCACTCATACGATTTGCCTAAACGACCCAGAAATTTTGAATCACACGACGCTCTGCATATTGAAGAAGAAAGCCAAAAGATCAAATACTTCTAATATTATGGAAACTAACGAAGTTAATTGCGCTCCACTAGGAAGCAGGTTAAAAGGGGTCTAGGTTGGGGAACCAGGTCAGGAGTGACCCAGTCCAAGGTAACCCCGGGGATAATCCCCGTGACCAACCAACCCGGAATCCTACCTATCTAAGCCTACCTAACTAGCTCAAAGTCAAAAGACTGAGCATCCGCGTACCCTAAGGCCGAAAAGTATTTTGGGGACAATCTTTCACAAGAATCCCAGAAGGTGAACTGTAGAATAATGGGTGGGTGGCCAAACCCTTCGTGTTGTGTGTCTTTGTTGAGGTATGGAAGCTTTCCCTCTAAGGCACCAGGGCCGGGAAAGCTACGCACCTCAACGCGGGGTAGTCTGGACTAGACCATGTATAGTAAATTATGCTTGCAATACCAACCCAGGAACTTAGAAGTAGATCTTGTAATACTAGGTGTTGTGGCAACTAGCATTACCTCACACCCCTAGTCCGAGAACAGGTATAGAGTGTAGCGCTTACTCTACAGTTCAAATCAACCTCTGTACGCGCGGTGGCACTTCACAGCATACATACACAGGTTAATAAAATTTAATATTTAAATTAAATTAGAAAATTCGACAGTCCCCCTTTTAAAATTTGTTAAAACAATTTTTATTATAATTTGGAAGATTAATCCGATTTAAGATATATTAGTGTTATAAAAAAGGTTGTAACGTTTGGAATAATTAAATCATTAATTTACAAAGGCATTCCTAGCTGAAGAGTAAGAAGATCTTGGCATTGAAGTAAGTATGTTGTGACTGTCCTTCATCCATATCCATTCACAGAAAACGTTCATATATCAGCATCCATGAGTCTCCTAGATAAAAGATATAAGGTTGAAAACGTTCACTCCTTTCCTTTCTTTCCGATTTTATCAAAACATTCCCAGTTCCAATTTAGAAAAGGAAATCTCAACGTTGGATTATTATCTAATCTAAATATAAATAAAATTGAAATCATAATTCAAAAATAAATTAAAAGAATTTATACTTACATTTTTCCTCTTTTAATTCACTCCTATAAAACACGAGTATATTGTTGCACTCACTTTCAAAGAATGATATAATTGCTTGTTGTCAAAAGGCCGAGTTGACGCAAATTTTCAAATTTGAAATAAAAGAATTATAAATAAAACTAGACATCTGAATGCCAAAGTGTCAAAGATAGTTTATTAAAGAAAGAATAAAGGTGTCAAAATTTGAAATATTTCAAAATATTTTAACTTAAGTGTCAAACTTGTGAACTCTTGAAATATTCTATGTTAAGTGTCAAACTTGAAAACCCTTGAAATATTCTATGTTAAGTGTCAAACTTGGGAACCCTTGAAATATTCTATGTTAAGTGTCAAACTTGAAAACCCTTGAAAAAAATTCTATGTTAAGTGTCAAACTTGAAAACCGTTGAAAAATTCTATGTTAAGTGTCAAACTTGAAAACCCTTGAAATATTCTATGTTAAGTGTCAAACTTGAAAACCCTTGGAACCTTAGCTAAATAACTAGATTGTAATATCACACAAAAGGGAAACCACTCAAAAGTAAAATCTAAGTAGAACACTTTAGTTTCTCAAACTTAAATAACACAACACTACACTTGCACGATATCTCCAGCTCAACGTTAGGTTCGGAAACCGTTGCTCCTGCGGAATATGACACGAAAACCAAAGGGTTCACAGGACGTTACACGTACAATAATAAATTAACACAACGTTACACTAGTTGTATGTCACTCGCACAATAATGAATTCACAAAACATTATACACGCAGAATGTCACTCGCACAATAATAATTTCGCAAAACGTTAGACACACGGGATGTCACTCGCGCAATAATAAATCGCAAAATGATGTACACGCGGATTGTCACTCGCACAATAATAATTTCGCAAAACGTTAAACACGCGGGATGTCACTCGCGCAATAATAAATCGCAAAATGTTAGACACGCGGGATGTCACTCGCGCAATAATAAATCGCAAAATGTTAGACACACGGGATGTCACTCGCGCAATAATAAATCGCAAAATGTTAGACACACGGGATGTCACTCGCGCAATAATAAATCGCAAAATGTTAGACACACGGGATGTCACTCGCGCAATAATAAATCGCAAAATGTTAGACACACGGGATGTCACTCGCGCAATAATAAATCGCAAAATGTTAGACACACGGGATGTCACTCGCGCAATAATAAATCGCAAAACGATAGATTCGCGTAACACATAACTTTACGATCACTTTGCCTAAGCATTAATTTTGGAATTTCCTTCACGCTTATTTGATACAAATGGTAAGTAAACACTTACGTCTGCAGGTTTGGATCTCAAACCTGGCATTCCCAAAGTAGTTGCCCCATCATAATCCAGTTCCATATACAGGACGATTTTTCGTTGTTACAAGACATTTTTTTACTTCTTCCTTTACTCTGAAAAATACGAACAATATTAGTATTTCTTATATAATATAGATAAAAACATAATTCTAGAAAGTTACAATAAACAATTTTTTGTCAAATTCACGTATTCCAATTTCATACCACCCTTTGTTCGATCTCCGCCCTACAAATCCAAATGAGATTGGTCACTTTATAGGAGCACCCTAGCAGCGATCTGCAATAGAAGATATTACTCCATTCTATCTTTCCTAGATATAAAAAAAATACTTATCTTTAAAATAGAATTTCACAATGCTCCCAGGCAGGTGGAGCACCTCCAGTTTAGCAGTTTTCACCATTTTTTTTGACTTTGTTGAGCACTGCAAACACGTTTTTTTTTCAGTAGCTCCATTTTGCTCCTTCCTTCAACACCTCCAAAATTTGACTCCATCTTTCCTGTTCTAAAACTGTCAGAAAAACTTTCAAACCAAAAACGTCACACAATTTCAAATTTTTTATCCCGCCTACAACATTTGTCGCCTTATACTTTGACATGAAGTCTTCATAAAGAAGTTCCTTACTCCAACACGGAATATAAAACCAAAATTAGGGTTCGATCGGTCAAATGGGTCAAATATTTAATGTTTTAGCAAGATAAACATTTTCAATTTTTATGTCGAACGACGTGGTTCTCTACAATCCTCCCCCAGATTTTGGTTCTATACCCATAGATTCAAAATCTTATACCTCAAAGAGAGCTAGTCGTTTATCATAAAAATAAAAGAGGAGAAAAAAATTTAAAACTTTAATTATAATTAGAAAATTAACAAATATTAAATATTTATCTCAATCATTGACAATGTTAAATGGGTTTCTCTAAACATAATATCGAGATAAATGTATCGCACTAAAAGTTCCTCGAACTGTTAATCTATCTGGATCAACTAAAACATAAATATTTCCAGGCTTCCTAATTAAAACTCTATAGGGACCTTCGAATCTAAGTTTAAACTTTTGAATAAAGATTTCCTAGTATCTGATTTATTTAATTTTCGAATTTTCACTAAATCTCCCACTTGAAATTCTATCAATCGGTGTGTCTTATTATAAAATTCCCTTCTAATTTGTCCTGCCTGCCTTAAATTTTCCTTAACCTCTTCTCTAATAGTCTCAACATCCCTAGTATTTTCAAAATGAGGCAAAACCCGATCAATGGTTAACCTGGCCGAACTCCTGAAAACTATTTCCTTTGGGAATATTTTGTCGAATTGTGATAAGTGTTGTTATATAGCTCTTCAACATCTCCCAAAATCTTGTACCATCCTTTATGATTATGATGACAAAAAATACGAAAGTATTTGGATAACTCCTTATTCACCCTTTCTGTAGTATTGGGTCTCGGATTCCTAATCGAAGTATAAAGTGCACGAATTCCCAATTCTCTTAATCCAGTTCTCCATATCATACTAATAAATTGTCTTCCATTATCTGTCATAACTATTTTGGGCTTGATGATTCTAACAAACTCTTTTAATTTCTTTAAAACCGCTCTAGAAGTAGCCCTGCTTAAACCATACAATTTAATGTATTTGCTAAATGAGTCTTGTAATACAAAAATATAAGAATATCTTGATTGAACTCTAGGTAATGGTCCGTACAGGTCTCCCATTACAAGATCTCCTATCCCTTCTGTAACAATCGAATTACAAGGTCCAACATATTTAATAGGATCATCCTTCGATAATTGGCAAACTCTGCATTTCCGAATAACAGATCTAACTGTTGTTTTCATCCCAATCCAATAAAACCGTTGCCGAATGTAATGATAAGTTTTATAGACTCCCAAATGTCCCATCTCAATATGTACTTGTTTACAGGTT